AATTGGACTTTGAGGCAGGTCAATTCCAACTCAAGATATCCTATGTTTCTATGGATATATGATACAAAATTCCTTTATCAGCTTTTTGTCCCACTTTATCCAACTGAACACGATGGACTGATATTCTCTCTTTGGTGATTTATTAACCTCAGCAGAGTCCAGTGAAATGCTGTGCCAGAGGCAAAACAGAAAGAACATGTTGGAGGTGTTCATGGCCAGTGAGCTTGCTCACACAAGTTAGCAGCAGTGCACGAAGACCTGTTCGTGCAACTCCAGGCCATCTTTACTTGGGGACTGTAACCTGGGCAAATGCCATGAAGCATTGGCCACGCTCAGCAGATTGTAGCCACAGCAACAGTTTCTGAGTACCAGGTGCTTGTAGTAGAAGGTGGTTCTTCTTTACTGACAACTTCACAGGCAGTACAACCTGCTTCCCACTCCTTACTCCTATCAGGGCTGAGCTGCCTTGCACTGCTTGCTTTCCTGAAGCAACACATGATGTTGACTCCAGATAAGGAGAGTGAGGGGTTTATGAAACAGCCTTCTTTTAACATAAACTTAGTTCTTCTGCACCAAACCTGACTCAATTTAACAGGAGAACACTTTAACCACAGCTCAAGTGACTTAACTCTTCACAGAAAAAAAGCTTTAAGGGCAGTTATACATCACGGATTTTAGTGGCAACTACACATTCTGCCCTACAAATTATAAAATCTATATTAGCTTTAGCTAAAACAAGGTACATGCATGTTTCTTTTCAGACAGTGATTTAGCTGTTAAAAGATAAATAAGCCTTCTGTTTAAATTCAGAATTCAGCATTTTTTCCTACTGTGTGATAGCAATTTTCAAGTTACTCTTTATGAGTCTCTTGTTCAAAACTTGGTAACACAAAGGATTCAGCTCTGGAATCTACACGGCAGTAGGAGGTAGGAAAAAAGCCAACAACATCTCTGAAGTCCCAGCCTACACAGTACAGAAGCTGTGACTGCTCCAACCCTTCTGTATACACTGTAGGTGCTCATTAGTATTGAAGAGCAGAGACAAGAGCTTGCAGGCAAGGCAGGTTAAGCTCTTCAAAAATCTTAGGAGTCATATCTGAGATTATACCAATATGCATGTCAAGGCAGCGGAGCTGAATTAAACACATACGGGATGACGACATCCAGTTTCATGAGAATGTAAACAAAGACATCTGGAAATAAACCCCTTTCCATAACACACAGAAAATAAGTCAATTGCTCACGGGACAATGTCTTACTCATTTTAGTAAGCTGAAGAACAAAAGCCAAAGCTGGAAGCTGCAAATCAGCTAAATTGGTTCTGAAAGTTTGTGAGTTTAGAGCAAGCACTATTTTGAAGAGAAAAATAATATCTAAAGGGAGCACTGAATCAAGTATGAACACCTCTTTTTTAAATAATGCCTTTTCTTCCTTTTAGGTTTCTGAAAATATCACAGCCAGAGAAGGCAAACAAGAAGAAAAAACCCCACATCTTATACTACTTGAAGTAAAAATGGAGCAAAAGGGAGTGAATATGACTCAAACATTTTATTATTTGGCTTTAGGATTGTCAGCAGTAGATGCTGTTGTTCCAGCTAACACAGCCACCTTCTTGGAAGAGAGACAATTAAGCTACACGTTTCAAAGATGGACTAAAGTTTATTCAGCTTTAGATTTGGAAGTCAGACTGAAGTCCATCTTGCTTTTCAGAGTAACTGATGACAAGAATATGGGCTTACTCAAAGCTTATTTTAAAGCCTCTTGCAGAGTAAATGGATACTTTACAATAATATGAACGAGCACCAATAACTGTGTGGTGAACCTCTGATCTGCAGTGTGATCTACAACACAGCAAGAGGAATCTAAAGCTCTGTTTAAGTCAAAGAAATGCTGGAACTCTTCAAATGTCCCTGACCTTATCCTCAAGCTCTAAGGACTTTAAGAATGCCACATCCTGCACTCCTGCAGCTGGCTGTCACACTGTCCCTAGACGGCCTTGAGCCCAGGTGGTGATTTGTTTTTTTGGAATAACTGGTCATTGTGGATCCCCTCAGCAGCTGCACCCCTGTGCAGCATGCCAGCTTGCACTGCAAAAAACATCATCAGTGGTCACCTTCTAGACCAAAACCTCTAAGACGGAGGTATTCAGAGAGGCTTTTTGCCACTCAAATAATTCAGGTGCCCTCCTGCAGAGTCGTATCTAGAATCAAACACTATTGCTCCCTAAGCAAGCAGAGAGTCAATGAGCATGTATGACATGGGACATGTGGAAACCAAATCACAAATTCACCTGAATCCAGGAAAAGGACTTGCAAGAGGATAGTACACTAACCTGTAGTAATGCAGTGTTTGAGAAATTGCCACAACACGGATGTAGATGAATGCTGCATGACTTTGGAAATCTGCTATCACTGTCATATCCCACCCATAATCAGGGGGGTTGAGGCTCAGTGGGAGGGAACAAGACAGTAGGCTTACTTGTGGCATCTTCTTGTGATCTCCCCACTCCATGCTGAAAGAAAGTTTGCCCATTTCTGCCTGAAGGTTTGACTTTCTGCCATATACCCTTCATATTTTGAGACTTTCTTTTCAGATTCATTGAACTATACCTTCTTTATTGCCTTTCTAATACTTTACAGGACAGGTGTAAAGATCTCTGGCTGTATTCTGCCATTCAGCACCTGCTCAGGATTGCTAAGCAATAGTTCTGGCAACACCTGAAACTTCACAAAGTTCAATGATGAAAATCGGAGCTTTCCTAAGCACAGCAATGACACCTGGTGGTGAAACAAAGGGATCATCTTCTTCTAGAGCTGTGTAGCTTCTTTTTTCACGTCCTATTCCTCAACTCCATCATGGCCAGGGAACAAATCTACCTAAACTGAAACAAAGGAAGATTCAAATTACACTTCAGAAAAAAAATTTATCTGGACACAGATAGCAAAAATTGCTTGGAGATGCTGTGGCACCATCACCTCGGAGGTCTGTAAGGCCTGGTTAGACAAACATGTCAGAGCTGATCTTCCCTGAGAGCACAGTGAAGCAGAGAACTTCCCTGCATGTTTTTCTACAGTTTTTTTAACTTTGTACAGCTAAAGCTGCTTCAAAAAAGGACCTTTCTTTAAGAAATGCCCGAGAGCACCCCATGTAAATATTTATTCCTTTTATCAGAAACTAATTCCTTGTCTTTTCCTATTATAAAACAGTACAGTGTTCACAGTGTACTGTTTACAGTGTATGCATTAGTTGGCCATGCCTAAAATAAGCAAGTGTGTCCATCTTGAAAATATTGAGAACAATACAGCCAAGTCTGGAGATTGCAAATGACGAATAAACTTGATCTGATGCTGGGCTGATTTCCACGTGCTACAACCAATTCAGCTGTTCTCATCAGTGACTTTATACCAAACTCATAGCAAGAATGAGGCTTTAGGGCTTCCTGAGCCATCACTTCTCCAGAGAGGACTTCTGCACAGCTGCAGCCTGCTGCCTGGAAGCAAATCACCACTGTAGTATGGTCGTGTCCAGTGCTGCTGATTCCACCAGTGAACAGTTTAGCACCAAGAACATTTAGGAGAAGGCTAGAAATCTCTTCAGTCCGAGTCCAGGTCTGCCAAGAACAGCCTTCTCTAGACAGCTGAAAAACTGTAGGATATGAAAGGCTGAGGATGGCAGTGGTAGTCAAAGGGCCATGCCCACTGAAATCCCACTCTGCTTGTTTACTGTTCCATCTCACCAGTGAACACATCCCAAGGACAGCATCCAGTTCGTGGCAAGAGGCATGAACTCCAGCCTCGTATGACCTGATTAGGTTAGCACAGGAGGAGAACAGGTGAACAGCAGCAACACCAACTATGGGCTGAGGCACCAGTGTGGACAGGAGGACCAGGTGACTGAGACAAGGCAACAGCTGGCCACCAAGCTGTTGTGACACTGTGGAATTAGCAGGAGCAGCCTGCGAAGAGCGACATACCAGATCATCTTTGTCTTCTCTGTCTCCATAGACAGGTAAGCTTCAGATTTAATTTAGAAACACCTGCATGCACATGGGGGTGTGTCTGTTTATTGAATTTCACTGGGAAAGATGTAAGACTGTTTTAAGGCTGTTTTAAGCTGCACAACAATTCCGTGAGAAGGTTTCAGCATGTCTCCCAAGTCCCCTGTTTGTCTATGCAATCTGCTCCTGCACTTTCAAGCCTCAGGAAGTGGCACACATGTATGAAATGGCCTTAAGGAAATCTTGGATAGATTAGGAGTCTTAGATCAAGTTTAATAGATTGGGAGTCTTAGATCAGGTTTCATAGGCGCTATGTGCATTATCACACACACTTCAGCTGTAGAAGTATAACTCCTTCCAAATTTTAATGCTTTTACACATTTCTATTGGGAAATCAGTGTAATACATGCTGGGTATACTTGGGCTGCCTTTTTTGCTACAGAAACAAAAACGTCAACGCTTTTCTGCAAAGGCTGATCTCGTTTCTGGAACAAAACAATCACGGTTTTATAAAGCCCCCAAAAAATGCCCACAGCATTTCGCCAACAAACCACAATCAGTATTTTTAACGGAAGAAACCTTCCTCCAGTTGTTTAGAAAGTAAGGAGAGAAGTGCAATAAGTGTGTTAAGTCATAACCAGTTGGTTGCCAACCCTTTACAGACCATCGGGACCCTGCTTCTAGCCTCCACTTGAACACAGTAACCACAAAAGAGGAAGAAAAATGGATTTAAGCCCAGTCACACTTGGATCAGCCCTCTGATTCCAGCTCAGCAGATACGAACAGTTAGGATGCCATGTCCTCATGCTCTTCAGCCAACCAGTATGAGAGCTGTTCTTATTCAGGGACTGCAGCTACCTGGCTAGTCCCTGGAGGAAAAAGCAATGGGGCAGGCTCACGGGGCTGAGGTGAAGCCTCACTTCCAAGGTATCCACTTCACTGCTTTGCAGAAGCACTTTAAGTCAGTTAGAAGTAAGATGAGTCAGAATATCCAGCCTAGACTAAGATTATGACTTGTTTTTTAAAGGAAAAATATTTGACAGACAATAAAATACAAACAGGATCATGTAACTAAACAGGAATACTGAATCTGAGTAAGTGACTTGTAAGGAAGAGTTCCTGGCTCCTAGGATTGTTCTGAGGCTGTGAGATAAATTTTGCTAAGAAGATGAAGAAATAATTAAAGGTCATTGTGTCACCTCAACTCAACGTGTACCATGTGCCAACCAAGGCACATGATTTGCACCTGTGCTGACACTCATCCCACTCAAGCTCAAGTGTAAGCACTGGCTTAACCCAACACTCACATTTCATCTATTGACCCCACCTAACTAAGCACAATACACAAACTGGGCAGTTCAGTTGACTGTGACTGTCTGTTGAGAAGTTCAGGAAAATTAGAATGTTTGTTTGTTTGTTTTGACTGTTCATGCACACTTTGCAACAGGCACTAGTGGTGCAGGCTTTGGAGTCATGGGAATGCTTGTCATTAATTGCTTTTAAGAAAACTTAAGAGTAGAAACGGAGAAGAATGCATACATTAAAATAGTAACTACTACTAATGCTCCTGGCTATTACACCCAAATTTGTATGTATAAAAAAATAATATTAAAAAATTAAATTAAACAGCTTCCTTGGTAAAAATAAACGCTGCATTTGCCTTTTTTTTTTTTTTTTAAGCTATTAATATTGAAGTTTCAGGGTAAAAAACTGCATTTAAATTTACCCTTCATGTACACAAACAGCTTTAGGCAAACTATGGAACTGCTGAGCACTGAGACAATTCAGTATTACAAAGACAGCAGATGGTCTTTGGAGCGTAACTACTTCATGTCCCAGATTTATCCCACAAATTGTGTGTCTCATCTTCCCCATCATCTCCTTCTGAAGCCTAGTCACTGTCCGAGTCACTGTCTTCATCTTCTTTTCCAGACAGAGCATGTTTGGATGAATCATTGGCTTCTCCCAAAGGAACAGCCCCTTTCCTCTGTGGCAGGACACTGAAAAAGGCCTCCTTCCAGTCTCTCTTCTCCAGGTATGCAAGGATGATCTCAAACACTGCAACATCAAGAAAACCCATCAGCTCTCTTACAGGGAGGTAAGTGAACTGCTGATAGGAACACCCCCCCAAATCCATCTTTTACAGAGGCTTAGGTGCATTCTGTTGTGGCATCTTCACAGGGAAGCTGATGAAGTGTACCCAGGGACAGACAAGGCAATTCTGCTACTGCTGCAGCCCAGAGCCAAGTGTGATCTGAGCCTCCAGTTGCGTGACAGTACCTAGAGCACTGCCCTTCTGCAGCAGCTCCAGGTTTGAATTAATTTCTCTCAAAGACAGAGAAATGTCCCCCCCAGTACTTCAGGTCTTATCAGTGCCTCCTATACAGGCACCAATGCTATCCCATGTTTGACAGGAATACTGATGTGGATACACTTTAACAAAGATTTTGACCCCTCCCTAACATATAGACAGCCCAAAGTCTTCCTAAAAACTCCTATAATTACCTTTTTTCTTTCTATATAAAGTGACAGTTAAAGATCCAGTTTTAGAAATATGACAAATATATGAGGTTTGATAATTTTTAAGTCCAGTGACATACTACAGTCTCCTCCATGTTTAAGTGGTCTTTATTATCATGCAAATACACACCTCACCAATCAAAAGCACTTTAAGAAAACAAAGTTATCACTGAGCAATGTGTTACATAAAAAAAATAAACTTGGAATAAAGCAACGCAAGATAAAATAAAATAATGTGCAGTGGGGCACAAAAAAGCCTTTGACACCATGTCAAAATTTTCCATAAAGGTCTGAGTAGGCTCTGTTTTACATGTATTTTTGTTTAATGACACTGAAAGATGATCTAGTAATAAAATTCAAAGTTTAAAAGGAGTGGGATTCAAGACCTGGTTAAGCAACTGAATACTTCAATCAGAACCAGGAAACCAGGTAAAAATAAGTTATGAAAGCTCAGCAGACTGAGTACCACTGATACCAACTGTGGTGAGTCTACAGGTACTGAGGCAGTTGCTGCTGAACAAAGCTGCCAAGGAGGTGAAAACATTACAGACACTTATCCACCCTGACATAAAATGCACAGAATAATTTCCAACACTTATACATTAAGCCTGGAAGCAAGACCAGGATGGTAAGAATGCCACAAGTACTCATGAGAAAAGCCAACAGGATAGGAGGTGCACTCCTGAGTCGCTAAGATACCATCACTTACATTAACCATATTTATAATATGGTTAAATTAAGATCAGAGCAATTACTGTATCCCAAAGGCAGTATCAACATAATAAAACAAGGTTGAGGCACCTGCACTACAGCACAATTTGAGGGTTCAAACTGTGAATATCATAGGTATATTCTACAATAATGCCATTATTTTATGATTTAAAACTTACCATGATTGACGGCTAACACTTTCCGACTGTTCATCTTGACAAAGTTTCCAAGTGGGAGCTGTGCATGACCAATACCCTGCTCTACAGCTTTTTTGTAAGTTATTCCCTGTGGGAAAGACATCTAAATGAGTGGATTCAGAATCACCACTTTGGATCAGCCCATGCAGATTTATTACAATTATAATTTTCTGGTATGAGTTTTGCTGGTGCTGCCATGATCTTGCTTTAGAACGTAGTTGCAAAAAGAAACTTACGGTTAGACATTACCTGCCTCAAAAGGGCTACCTTTCGGAAAACTCACTGCTTTCTGTATATGTCACACTGTGATCTATGGCCTGAAGGATTGTAAATAAAACTTCATGCAGCTGCAGCTCTAGAACAATTCAGCCACAGACTGTTTTAAAGGCGAGCTCATGCTTAAGCACAAAGTTACTCACGTTGTAGTCACTATGTATTTTTTCAGAGGAAGAGTAAAGGCTAAAGAAATGTTGCTTGCTTCCTTATACCTGACAAGTCCTGTGCCCAAGGTGGGCAAAAAAAGAGTATTTAAAATTATGTGAACACTTTATATCACAATGTCTACGTAAAGGATCTGCTTCAGCTCCCCCCAAGCCTTTCACTGTGGACTAACTGCTGAAGTATCATTTGGTACAAAAAGACATCCCTTTTTTTAGCGTCCCACCAAAATACTAAAGCAGTATCAGCACTTCAATTTTGCAGCGGCATTCTCTATGACATTCCAGGTCCACTCAGCACGATCCCACGTACAGGTAGGGAACCAGATCCCTGAGGCATGTGCGTTACTCAGCCAAGTTCTCCTGAGCAGCAAACTTATTAAAAAAACGACACCCAAGATGCAAGTGTACTTGCAAGGGCATTAATGGAAACTAAACCCTTCTGTTTGAAACTATGGCTCTCAGTAAGATGAGCACTGTTATTGATTCCATTCCTATATTTAAAATGAAAAGGTAAAATCCAAAAGAGCTCATCATGCCTGCACCCTGGAATACAAGCTACTGCTACTACCGAAAGCTTTTTTCCACGTTTCTTCAAAAAATTTTTTTGAAGTCTTTTTTTGAAGAAGTTTTCTTACTATTTATTTTGTTAGTTTATACACAAACAATATTTATGTCAAATAAGATGCTAAAAAAGAAAAAAAGCTATAAAGAATCAGATCCACGGCTTACCTTGTGGTGATTGTGATCCACCAGTCCTCCAATCACATAGGCTTTCTTCTCATCAAGCTCTCTGAGAACATCTGGGGAATCTGAGGTAAGATACACTAGGTCTTCTTTCTTTATTAGCTCACTGTAGTGCTCTGTTCTAATTTGGATGTCCTCAAAAAAAAGGTAGTTAAAAGAAGTTACATTCAACGGATGAACTGCTGGCCAAGCTTTACAGACCCAAGATGGGACCGGCAAAAATAAATCCAAGAGAACTGTGGTCATTCCACGTCCCTCATTCATGTTTAAGGATGTACCACGCTGCAGACTGATTTCCGCAAAAACAATCCAGTCCCTATGGCACTGACTTGTAAAAATCAACAGGAAATTTTCTGAAACCCCCAAAGAACCTTACAAATCCTTAAGTTCTTGTGATTCCCTTCAAATGTTACCATATTTCTCTTAGGGATCCAAGTGATTTTCAAGTCCACCTTTCCAAAAACGGTGAAACCAGAAGTAAATGCTTAGTTAGCATTAATTGTTCATTAAGAGAGGTTTATGCTGTGCTGTTGTAAAGCAGCTATTGCACAAGAAATGTTGAAAATAGGTCTAGTTTTATTCATGCAAAGTGCTCTTCCTTTGATGTTGTTGGAATAGTGGTTTAACAGGGAGTTACATGGAAAACCAACGTGAGTTTGACAATAAGACAAGCTTCTCTAAAGAACACTTCAGTACTGAGAGGCGACGTGATGAAGGCAAAGGTGTATGCAAGAGAATCACACCATGATATTCAAAGTATTACTGTGGTCAAGAAAAAAAGAGCACTGTCCAAGACAGATGACTGTCAAAACTGCCTAAATCAAGCAGTCTTGCTTAGTTTATCAGAGAATGGAATTTTTCACTAAAAACAGGTGAAAAGAGATGTGTGTGTAGTTTTTCAAGCAAAAATCAAATTTAGATTCAAGATAAGCAGTCTTTGGCTTATGCAAATTAAATCAATTAAAAAGCAGAAAGAGCTACACCATTTCCAATATGCCATTGCTCTCGTGTTAGAAAAACCCACACAGAAAAAGCACGTCTCTCACAACTAACAATCTAGTTAGCAACTACAATCAAGATACTGTTTTCCCTTTTTACAGAAATACTCAATTATTCACCTTCCAGTTCACCCATCCTTTGTCATTTTCATTCATGTTGCTCTTCAACTGTCCCCCATGGCTGGTCAAGTAAAACTTCAAACAGAACAAAAAAGAGGTACAAAATACAGAAATGTTAATATGCCACAATCTGTTTCCTCTCTTTTTATCCTTTAACTATATAAGACTTTTTCTACCCTTCCCCATTAGCTAAATCTCTTAATATTTTTTTAGATGGAAGTGATACTAGGACCATATTCATACAGTTAGTGATACATTAAAAGACAAGTACGCATTTGCACTCACTTTTCTTTTTTAATCTGACACAGATAAAACTGAGTATCAACAGGATCTTAGAGGAACATGCCAGCACCAGGCACGCTTCACCTGCATGCAAATACTTATTCATATATATGGGGATTTTTATTACACAGGTTGGAATTTAATCTGTTAAAATAGAAGTAATTTTCTTATTAAAACCAGGCAGCTTAAATAACTTTTTTCTACCACAGTTCTCACCACCTCTCATATGTTTGGTACATGGCAGCAGTCAGTTTGTTTAAACATACCTGCACAGGATGAAATGCCTTGCGGTTTTCTGCATAACATCTCTGAATCTGCTTGTGAAGCTTCTTAACATCCTGTACACAACACAATTTGTTTTTACTTACTCCTTCATACAGACCATCACAAAATGCTTTACCATGAGCCAGTCAGAAGCTAAAGAGAGAAAAAGGAAGCTTTCAACTGGCAAAAGTGACTACTGAGAGAGTGTGGACATCAGATCCTGAGAGAAGAAACAGCCACTGTGCAGGGTTTATGTTGGCAAGAAAACACACACATCTTTCCATACATGCCCCTCTGTGTATGTGATTTGCATTATTCTAGGAAAAAAAGCCCAAAACAAACATCACAGGTATTTAATTATATGTTATAACACACAAAATTAATCTGAGGAATCAAACAGATTTATCACTGTGACAATACTCAGTCTTCAACCCATGAGAAAATCCTGAGAATATACAAGTGCATATTTAAGACAATTAATTTTGCATAATTAAACTGAAGAAGTCCAGAACAATGCAAACAGCCTAGTGTCTGGCTCCAGCATTTTGAATTATAACTTCGACAACAGTTAAACTATTACTATTTAAAATGTAGCAGACTTATTTTTGAGCTAATTATGGCTTTTGTAAGGTACATTACACAGTTTTATTCTCAGTGTCCCAAAAGCTGTGTTTTGCAAATGTAATCGGTTCCTATTTTAGAAGGAAACATCATTATATTGCATTGATATTTTTATATCTTCAAAGGATTTTGAATAAACTAGACTTGCCAAAATATTGCAACCCAAGTTTCACAGACACTAGAGAAAGCCTGTAATTTACCTCACAGATAAAGACCACAACCATTGTCACCTACAGGGCTTCACCCTTCCTAAACATCTGCAGAAGTGCTAGTTTTTATATCAGGCCTAACGAGGCTCTGCCTGACCAAGGAAGAAAATGTGTTTCACAAAGGATGAAGCCAGCACGAAACATCTGGTCAGCATCTCTCAAAATATGAAGGTGGTCCTCTGCTCTCTTCCGGGGCACTGCTGAGGGGAACAAAGTTCCAAAATGCCAACTGGAGCTTCCCCAAGCAGCCAGACGGGCTGTGCAAAAGCTGGAATTCAAGCTCTTACAAGCTCTTCTTCTGGCAGCAGCAGAAGGGCTCGGGCACAGGGAGGCACGAGGTCTACCTCAGAAACCAAAGGCTGCACTTACAGGAGGCTGCAGATTAACTTTCATAGTACTTTCCTAGTATAGTTAGAGCTGCTTTCTTCTCAAAACACCACACCAAGCATCTTGACCCGTGGCTGGGTATCCCGCTGATCTTTCCCATATTTATCTATCCTATGATCATTGAACCTGCTCTTTCATCCTTACCTAAGATAACTTTGGAGATGGGCTGAAGAGTGTCCTCCTGTCCCAACTACCTCTCGTGTGACTGTGAGAACAAGCCCAGTATCCTCACAATACTCAAAATCTTAATGTCCACAGACACTTACTAAGAGGGTTAGGATCCTCATGACCACTTTGAAAGAGAAAGCAACTGCATGTGGCATTTGTGGTTCCTTTTAGCAAAACCATTTTGAGGTAGAACTGCATCCAATGTCATGGTGAACACCTAGCACAAAGCGTTTCTATATTTTTGCTTTTGGAATTAAATCAACTTACTGCTTACCTGTGAAGGCAAACAGAATCTCTGTCAAACTCACATAAAGTATGGCCCAAAGCCTAAAAAATTCAGCAACTGACATGAGCAGGTCTGGGAGCTGCCACAACGTGAAGCCTGGTAACTGTGCTCTGCAAGCAGCTCTCCAGTTTTTGCTCTCTGACATCGCATCGGCACTGTCACTGGAGAACCTCTCAGTGATGGGTAAGTTCCTTTTACCTTTAACACCATCAGGTCATCAAAGCTGCAGTCCACAATGAGGCGAAGCGTGCTAGGAACAACTTCCCTGCGCATGCACTTTCTGTCATTCCCTTCCCTGCTGGAATCCAATTTTGACTGACGTTCTAGTTTTCTCTTCTGGCGTTTTTCTTTTCGTTTCTGCCTAAATAAACAGACAAATCAATCCTCAAAAAGTGCTGCCAGATCTGCTGAGGTACACGTTATGCACCCAAATGCAGACTTCCAGGACCAAGATAGGTTGTCCTGTGACTGTGGTAGTTTAAACTTGTTAAATGTTGCCTGCATTTGTGCTAGGCTGAGACCGGCACGAAACACAACCCCATCTTTGTGAAGTTCTGTATGTACCTACAAAGACAGACATCTGACACAAATTCAGTCAACTCACTGCTGGGAGTCTCGTGGATTTAAGGGTGCTCTGAGTCAAGTCTCATAAGAGAATTAACCAAAAAGACTGACAAAAATCGCAGTATCGGAATCAGAACACGGGAAGGCAATTTATGTTCTTTTTCACTGAACAGTTTTTTAAAAGGCTTCTGAAGCAACTGTTCCTTTCCCCTGTCCCCTGATGGGAGCAGGCAGTTGGGAGATCAAATTTCGGAGACAGCAACAGTCGCTGTCTTGGGAAGGAACACCTTGCAGTCAGCAGGATAAGGATAAATCACCATCAGCTCATTTGCAGATACACTTTCTCTCAACACAATAGAACAAAAGATCATCATCTTTCAGAACTATTCTAACAGACTGTAAGTAAACATAACTTATAGCACTGCATTTCACGTGTCAAAAGTATTTGCTTTTGTTCACTGTCTTTGTAAGATTCACCAAGTCTGACATCACCTGGGAAAGAGGGTGCAGCCCATTCAGAAGGGAACAAGGCCACAGTTCTCTCTCCTCTCTGACAAATCAAAACCATGCATGTTCAAATACCTCCTGACATTCTCTCCAAGCTGAGGAACACTTCTAGTAGGAAGAGGGGATGCTCACCTTTACATCCTCTTCAAATGCAGATGGAGTAGCCTGCGGCTACTGAATTTAAACCTGGTGTGGGAGAAAACTGATTCAACTGCCTTGATTTGCTAAAGCCATTTACAAGAAAATTCTGCTGACACATCATTATTATTAGCACTAAATACTACATGTGAACCTAGGAAAGGTATTTTGCAAACCATACCTCCGTAGGTCTTTTTGTTCCTCCCACTGTTTCTGCTTCAATAACTTCTTCCTTTGCCTTTTGGACATGGGCTCAGGGCACTCTTCTTTGTCTGAGCCTGCCTCCCGTCTCTCTACTGGACTGTCACTTGACTTCACCTTTCCTTCGACATCAGGAACTTCAGGGAAAAGGGTATTTTCCATGGGCACCTCTGGACTGTCTGTTGGCGTTTCGGATGACATTAGCTTTCGGCCGAGTTTTCTGACTTGTTTCTCAACATGTGCTAAATATTTCATTAAAAGAAAGCTTTCTGCTCACCAATTCTCTAGAAAACAAAACAATTGTACGAGTGTTATTAACAGGAAGCTCAATTAGAACAAGTATCACTTAACATAGAAAATACTAGAGAGATTATAACCTGCATGCAGATAGTTTGAAACTCTGCCACATCTGCAAGTAGTCAATAGTTTCCAATTAAAAACTTTGTGAAAACACAACTGCATAAAAGTAGGGAATCGTACTGAATCTAATGTAAAAATAAAAAAAACCATTAGCAGTACCAGTACATGTACACAAACTGTTCTCAAATACACAAAAAGAAAAAATTAAAGAGGTATCTTACAGTGTAGCTATGGCAGCACTTAGAAAAATGTAATTTTAAAGACACTGAAGCCATTTTCTGGGGAAAAAAAAAGAAGAAGTGTGAACGTGCGGCACTCCTTCAAAATTATTTTTTTATTTCTTTTGAAAACCGAAGACACTGCACAGCGACAGAGACTTGCACTGTCAGTGGACAAACACAGTGAGTAAGGGGACAAACTGTCATTCGGCAAAACGTTCTGAGTTCAAACCAACTACAATCACAGCCTCTCCTTTCCAATGGCAAGTACTACTTTTCCATCCGAGCAGGTTCCCTGCACTCGACACCCACATAATTCTCCGAAGGCAACCACTCCACCGCAGAAAACTTGCACGTACGTCCGGCAGGGAACACCAACCTCCCACCCCCGGCTCTCGCAGGGACAGCAGAGCCAGGAAACGCACACACACACACACAAGAACACCAGAGCACCCGCGGCGTTTTTGCCGGCACACCCCCCGCCTTCCCCGCCTTGAGGGCGTGCGGACGCCGAGCGCTGCGCGTACACCCGTGTGCGGGTACACAGGCGCACGGACACGCGCACGCACACATCTGCACACACGTGTGTCTGTGTCGAGACACGCGGTTAAGTCCCTCACAGCTGCACAGGGCCGGCCACAGCGCCCGGGAGGGCCGTGCCCCCCCGCTCCCACAGGCGGCGGTGAGCGGTCTCCGCGCCGCGCGGGCCCCTCGGTGCCGCCATGTTCTCTCCCCCGCCCCCCTCCCCCCATCCCCCGCGAGGGGCCGCAACGTACCCGCGAGCAGCCCCGCGCGCGCGCCCGGGCACGGGGAGGGGGCGGAGCCGCAGGCTCCTCCCGCGCACAGGCAGGCGCGTGCGCGCCCGCCACGCCTCCCGGGTCCCGGCGGTCACGTGATGGCGGCGGGCGGGGCGCCCCCAGGCGGCGGGCGGTGGGGCTGCCGCCCCTCACACACACATACACACACACGGCGTGGGGGGAGCTCGGCGGGCTTGGTTTTTTTGTCTAGCGGTTTTGACGGCTGCGCTGAGTTCGCGCAGGGGCCAGCCGAGTATTTTTAGCCGGTGGCATTCCTCAGGGCGGGTTTCGAGCCCCAGGGGTCCCCCCGGCAGCGCCGCGTTCCCCCCCCCCCCCCCCCCCCCCCCCCCCCCCCCCCCCCCCCCCCCCCCCCCCCCCCCCCCCCCCCCCCGAAAAAGGGTGCTCGCCTCCGGGCTTCCTATTTTTAAAGGCCGCAGACAATAGGTTTTTTAAACTCCAGTGTCAGTAACCAGCGAAGGGCAGCGTGCTTTCGCCTCCGCATAACTCCGTGGAAGAATGCTGTCCGAATGCTCCCCAGAGCAGTCCGTTCTGGGGACTGGGATTGTGTTGTATGAGAATTATATATTTTGGGCAGCCCAAGTATGTAGATATCTGTTTGCCCCTGGTTAACGAGGCACACAAAGTTAGCAAACACACGAGTGCGCACTACCATAATACCCTTTTCATCTGCATCAATGCTTATCTCAGGTTTCATTGGTTCCAGATATACACACTCTTACAGTTTTAGTGCTGGTTTCAGGTTTGCTACAGCTGTGTTGAAGTCAGAAAATTGTATGGTGTCACTATAGTAAGACACTGACCTTTTAACTGCTGTTGGAATTCAATATTTGCCATAATATTTGATTTAATTTGTGATTCCTATTCTGCACATGACTTTAAAAATAGCTAGATTTGCATTTGCTAGGGTCTATTTAAAACCTTACTCGTGTTACTATTAATATCTAGCTTGACATGCCAGCATCATACAAGTCCAAATGCTCCACTGTCCACATGGAGAATCCTTCATTTTCTTCTGGTCATTGGGAGGCTGCAGAAGAGTTACCAGTATAAACTCGCTTGCTTGCTTGCTTTTTTAATAAAAGCAAAAGACATCTAACAAATTCACATAATAGTTGTGCTTTTTCTTAGAATGAAGAAACTGCTTACGCATTTTGTTTTTCTCATACCGCACTTTGCAAAGCGTCAGTACTGTTAATCCAGACCCCAATGTCCTCAGACACTGACACAGGGTAATGCAATGTTTTCTGAAGTCTGCCAAGTGCCAAGCGGTGACAAAGCCAAATGAAGACCTGAGCAGTTGCAAATATTGAGAAAGAGCTGTCCGTCTGAATTTCATTATTTTGATAGAGCCTTAATGTGACTTTTTCAAGATGCTCATCCAAGTGATGAGTCACTCTCTCCCCTCAGCAACAAAAAGTACTGAACACCCCACAGCTTAAAAGTGCAGGTCAAGAGGCAGAGTATGGAGAGAAGACAAAAGATACTCAGGGGGCTCAGGTGTGGACACTGACATAGTTCTCTGTGGGCCAGGTTTGACTGCAGTGCTCTTGAGGAGGGACTTAGGGTGCAAATGACAGGCATAACCCACCTCTGGCCATTGGTGTGGCTGGGCATCTCCAACCCCCTGTCACAGCAGAAATGGGGCAGTCTTATTCACCCAGACACTGGGAGCTGGGGCACACAGGCATCAGCTGAAGGGTGAAGATGAACTTGGGTACTTTGATGTACATACCCAAGGGTTTGAGTTGAAAACCAAGATCTTCACACTGTCGCTTGTGAAGAGAAGACAGAAACGTTTTGTTGGCCTCAGAACTTGGGAGGAAACCTCATTAGTTTTATTAGGCTGTATAAAGATATAGTTTGGACTCTGGAAAATGTGCAGCAACAGAAATACTTTGACCTCAGCACATATGCCAGCATGGCGTGAAACGTACATTGGAGGCTGATCCTGCAACCTCTGCGTGGTGTGGACTTTGGTGGGCACAACTCTTCTTTCCCTGGTGCAATCTCACCTAAAGGAAGTCACTGCTGATTAACTCCAGCCATAACCGAGGTGAGGCTCAGTGAAATGTCTTTTTTTAAGACATTTGAAGAACATTCCAAGAATGTGTTGTGGAAATGCATATGGGTGTATAAACATTTATGCGCGTGGCAATGTATGTACACAATTTCTCTATAAGATGGTTGCATCCTTAGTTCTGTAATTGGCACCGCTACAGCGGTGGCCAAAAAGATATGCTGATTTACAACAGCAGGGGGTCTGTCTCTGATATTCTAGTGTCTAAGAGAGCCCTTTTTAAAAATTACTTTCTTTCAAGGAAGAAATAAATTTCCTGTATCCCAAGAGCATAAGAAGAGGACAATTCCTCATCTCCAGATTTCAGACCAACATCAACTCCTCCTCCTGAATGAAGTGTCAGTGCTGCATTTCCAAATCAGGATCCATACCTTTGGTCTCTCTCTAGCCAGAGTTGGTTTTGCACCAAGATAGTGTCCTTATTTTTCTCAAGAATGCACAGAAAACCTGTCAAACTCACTGTTTACTAAGTGCAGCAAAAGGATTAGCTGGAGTCCTGTGCCTCAGTCCCTTGAATTCAGGAGCGTGTCACAGCCTACATTGGGAAAGCAGCATAAATAACCACAAATGGGGAATAAGCAATTAGCAGACCCTAGGGTTTCCTAATTTCTTTCCCACACGTGCACACACACACACACACACACACACACAAAAACCACAGGAAGATCTCCGGGGGGAACTTCCACAAAGTGCAGAGAGATGAGCATGAGGGAGATGCACTGGCATGGACCAGTTGTTTCCCACTGCTGGGCCATGATTGACATACACGGTGTTCAACTTCTCTTTTACCATGATCCCTTATTAATACAAAGGATTTGGTGGCAGAAAGGGCCCTTTGGGAGCAGCTAAATGCAGCCTGGGGTGGCACTTTTTCATTTGGAGTGTTTGTAGATATAAGTCTTGCTAAAGCAGCCTGTGGAAGTGGAGTGAAAGGGTGTGGTGATGGCTCACGTGTGCTTCCTCCACAAGCAGGAGCAGATCCTCCCTCCTTGCAGAGCTGGGGAGGCTTCATATGAAGCAGGGGTAGAGGTGTACCCCCCTCGCAGGCTGTGCCACCCAGGTGTGCCAAGAAACATGGGGGCTTGGCCCATGGGACACTTGTCACAGTGACACCTAAAAGAGATCCTTTAGTGAGCCCTGTGGCCATGAGGCTTAGGGTGAGATGGCCTGGGATTTACCCTCAGAGGAAACAGGGAAGCCATGTGGGTTAGTCAGCCAGGGGCATATCAGGGGAGGTGGTGAAATGAGCACAAGAAAAGGGGAAAATAAGGGTGTGAAGCATGGCTTGGTTTGCCCTCTCTCAGACCCTGCCAACCAGGTACTCATCACTGAGAAGTAACAAAATGGCTGATTTTATCTCATCTCTCAGTCTCTAACCTCTGCCACTGCAGTGATGTCAGATGGGGGCTGGGACTGCTGAAACAAAAAAAAATTATTTGGTATGGTACAATACAGCAGATACTGACATCACATCTGAGTCTCTGTAACAACGTACCATCAGTTTTTGGGATGGCACTGATAAACCCCATGTAATTCTGCTTCCAGGAAGACCCTTGAAAAGCATCTGCTTCTGGGGTTGCTCATGGAGTTGATGCGAGTCAGTAGAGACAGTGGTCAGGATCTGGTCCCTGGCAGCAACAGACCTGATTGCCCTTTCGTTCAGGGAGAGGAGAGGTGGCAGAATCTCCTGGTTCTTCCAGAACTGGAGGTGGGCTCTCCTGCTCAGAGTTGTGTCTGTGTGGGCTCAGTATTCAAAAATGAAAGCCGAGATTATCGATAAAATGGGGTAGAAACCGCCAGTTACCTTAGTTCTTAATAATTAACTGGAAGTCCTTTCATGAACTTAGTACCTGAGTGTGGAATTTGGAATCTGACCTTTACTACATCTAGATAAACAGTGTGGCCGAGCTGGTGGCTCTCTCTGCAAGCTCCCCTCCACTCAGCAGCTCAGTTCCTGAAGGCTCTCACACTTCATGCTGCAGTCAGGAGCTCAGCAGAGTCCAGCATGATTCTTCTTACTGTGCTGTTCCTTTGCATCATTTCCACCTACTCAGCCTCTGTTAAAGGTAGGTCTGTAACGGGCTTGGTTCAGCTTTTGCATCAGTGAAGGCACAACCAGTGTGTGTATGCAGATCTGGTTTGCATCAAAAATTGTCAGCTTTACTCAGCTATCCTTGAGTAATGTGAAATGCATTTGGTAGTTAGGTTTAAGCGCTTGTGGCACTCACCTCAGCAGAGGTGATGGAGACAATGTTTTCAGGTGCACAGGGACGGCAGTGTGAGCCAGGAGACCAGGGATCTTGACCTTGCTTAATCAGGACATGTTGTGGGGGCACCGACTTGAAAGGTACTGTTCACACGCTCAAAAGTTAAACACACAGAATGCCCTGGTGGAGCAGAGCCAGGAGTGCTCAGGGCTCTCCTGATTTCAGCTTCTTGGCGGTTGATTCGGCTACCACTGAAGTCAGTAACAAGCATCCTGTTAATTTCATGAGAAGCTTGCTCTGTGGTAAGTCTTGAAAATCTGGATGCCTGCAGAAGCCCCGTGAGCAGGGCTTTACTCAAGTGTCCTGTCAAAGTCAAGGGTATGAAGTCTTGGAGACTGCCCGCTTCAGCAGTGCCAGGCAAGGAAAGGTGTCTGTAGTAGTGATTCTTCATGTGCAACCTCACATTAAAGGTAGAGGAACAGCAACCTTAAAACATGAGCTGAGTTTTTAGTTTTCAGATGTCCTCGTCCTGACGAACAGCAGGGGGGACATCCTGGGTTAGGCTGTTGAAAAGGCCGTAGAGGTGCTCTCAGCGGTGCCACCTCCCGCTCCCTGCAGGGGGTCCAGGACACTGTGTGTGTGTAAGCCCAGAGCAGTAACCTTCCTCCCCTACTCTGTACCCTCTCAAAACAGGAGTTAGGAAGTGGAGAGGTTTGCAGGCAGTGCCTCTACCTGTGAGTGTATTTCATGAGACTGCCAAGTACCGTTTATGG